TTTTTTTTTTTTTTTTTTTTTTTTTTTTTTTTTTTTTTTTGACAGGATTTGGCAGCCTGGGAACTGAGACACTGTCCTAGGAGGAAGGTAGCATGCATCTGAATCACTCTGTAAAGTGAATCATTCTCTAAATTTAATGCAGCAAATGTGATTCCCCATCACATAGTCTATTCAAAAACTACCACTGACTGTAGTGTGGGCTTTATACTATATACCAGTATCTAAAGCTTTTTTGCTTCCTTTTAGTGCAGTGAAACCAACTTGTACTCTAATGTTGTACATTCATTTCAAAATTTAAGCAGTGTAACAGTGTCTCTAGGTTTTTCAAAATGAATATTCTGTATTTTTCAATTGTTAGAACATTACTGATTAATCTTTCTGTGCTACTTGGCATTGATAAAGCTGCAGATGGATTTACATATTTAAATCTGAGCACTGTAAAGTACAGAGCTTAAATTTTTGTAAGGTAACATTGTGTACAAGACATTAGCATTGCAACAAACTTCTGGAAAAGGTGCTGGCATCCCATTTGCTCCAGCCATAGATGCCATGTATGTCCTGAAAGGTGGAATGGACTACCGGTCTCTCTTAAATCTGTTGTTCGGGCAAAGTAACACCTCTCTCCAAAAGAAGTGCATGTTAAAATGTCGGATTCATCCCCACTGCTTTCCTGTTCTCTCTTAAAAATAAATAAGTTATATAACTTCATATTTATTCTGTACTCTACTAATTAGCAGCAAATTTGATGTTATCTGCGAAAAGGCTGTAAAACCTCGTCAGCTTGAAGGCTGCCTTCTTTTCTGACTTGGGGCAGAAATTGGGTGTCAGATATTTGCTAGCTCCCAGCCCTTGTCTAGCTTCACCAAAACCTAGTGCATGAGCAGATGTGCCTCCTTAAGGAAAGCCCATGTGATCAAGGCTGGTAAAGAGAAGATGGCAAATAAATTTCTTCTAGTAAAATCCACAGTAAAATACTATGGCAACATTGGAAATTAATGTCTTTACTCAGTTTTTTTGTCCCCAAACCTGCAATTTTCACCTCGTTAAGATTCAATGTGACTGACTACTCTCTCCAACAAACCTCCTAACGTAACGACAATAGAGCAGATGCTTTATTTTTCTACAGTTCCTCTCTGTTCTCATACAACTAGTGCAATTTGTTAATGATGTGTTTTTTTAGTAATAGTCTACCCAAACTAGGCAAGAAGCCATGTGGCAAATTACAGCAAATATGTATTCCTTAATTCCTTCGTGGTCTCTGTCTTAGCTGGAGCTCTCAGGAGCATAGGCTGTTGTGATGTGGGACTGTATGTTCAGCTGTGTGGATGGCTCCACTGCCTCTTGTATACCTGGCGAAAAGGTAAAATTACTGGCTTGCTGGAAGAAAGTAGTGCTGGATTTCTTGTCAAATTACAAGTGGATTACTTCTGTTTATCAGTGCTGTTTTTTTTTTTTTTTTTCTTACATTGTGCAAAATAGAAAAAGATACTATTCGTGAAAAGGGTTCATCTAGTCACAAATCTCATTAAGGCTGAGTGACAGCAGGCTGCTGTGAACTGAAAGAGCATATTTCTTCTTTCAGCACATTTCCCATTAAAAAAAAATGACATGCAAGATATGGGAAGAATGGGAAGAAGTGTAAACTATGGGGAATATACTTGATCTAAAAGTACACCAGAGATCAGATAAATCTTGATTCTGGGAATAAAATGGACGTGTGCAAATGGAGGATAGGCTTTTTCAGGCTTCTCAGGAATTTACAGTCTCTAAAGTGCCTAGATGCTTTTATCAACTTCTATAGAAGTAGGATGTAACTGTATAGAACTGAGCTGTTGGTGAATAACCACATAGGACTGTGTTGAAATGATGTGTCCTGTCAGTATTGAAGAGGCTAAAGTTACTAACCAAAGAAGTGCCATGGATACCTGATCAGACATTAGCCAAGGTCCAACTCTAGAGGCAGACTTGTGTGGACCTCTGAGGGGAAGGAAACATGCAGTTTACTTGCCAAGCCACAACGCTAGCTTTATAACAGGCCTGTGTTTAAAACCTGTGACAGTTGGAAGTGGGAAAACAGCCGAAAATTAACAGCTTTTGCTGCCTGCTGCCAGCTTCCAGGCATGAGAACTGATCCCTGTATCAGCTCTGCAATGCTGTGGCCTTTGGTGGCCATACTGCACGTACAGCTGTGATCCTCTTTGTAAAGAGGTATGACATGCAGAGGCTGTGATGTGGTTCTGGTGTGTGTATGGTAGTGTGCAGGCTTTGGTACTTTTCCAACATTGCTTGTTTCCAAGCAATGAGCTTGGGAACTCCTGGTTAGAGGGAGGAAAAGCTTGAATGCTGAGTGATTTAAGTCCACCTGCAGTTCTCCTTGAGCCAAGGTACTTGCGCATTCTGTATATGGTTACCAGGCTCCCTGCCAACGTGTTAATAGGAGTTCTTGTTCCAGGGCATGGTTGCTGCTAAGGGAGTTGGCCTTGGAAACGTCCAAATGATGCAGAAAAAAAATATTCATATCTCTTGAGTGCAGGATCTTGTCAGAGTTTGCTGGCTTGGTGAGGAGATGAATCGTACAAGGCAAACCAAGCTACGATTTTTCTGAGAATTGAACTATCCAAGCTGTTGCCCTTCTTTGAATTCAGTCTGGTGCTAGATCAGACTGCTGAGCTACTACTGTATCTTACCCTGTGGCAATAGAGAAACGTGAGTGAGTAGGAAACCTGTGAGCTGCCCAGGAGCATCTAGAGGCTTGGAAGGGCTAACGTAAAAGGACTTCAACTCTGAGAAAGAAGTACAAAGTTGGATGGGCACATTCCTTGATCCTACAGTTACAAGTGAAACAAACTGGAAAGGAAGGGGCTTTTTTCCTTCCCTCAGCATCTCTCCTAGATTCAGTGCTTCTCTCCCTTAGTCTGTGTTTCAGTGACAAAGTCAAATGTTCCAGGTTCAGTGGAATGGAAATTTCTGCAATGGCTTCAGGATTAATTCGTCTGGGATCAGTTTCTTCTAAATGTAATAGATCTTCTGTTCATGAATGGAATGGAACAGAATGGAATGGAATAGAATATTGGGTTAATATATTCAGTTAGCAAAGGAACATTTAAGCACAGCCATGTTCTCCTTCTTTGGAGCCCAGGAAGAAATTTTGATTTCATTTGGGATTTCTTTTTCCTTCTTTGGTCTCCTTAAATTTGTGTCAAAAAAATATCTGTTTTCTGTTACGTGGAAAATATCATATCATCTATATTAAAATCTGAGTGTTCCTGAGAGCTTTGTTCACACCAGTAATATTTATTTTCAAAATGAGTGAACTGAGGTATGAAGACATTGCTTGAAGTAGTCCAAAGCATAAATACTGAATAGGTGTCTACTGATTTTCATGTTTTATTCCTTCATGCTTCCTTTCTTCACTGAAAATGAATCAAATGGCCATGGACTGACTTTTAGCAAAAGTGTAGATCTCTCTGCATGGTATTTCTCCATAACAGAGCAAAGAAAAGAGGATTAATTTATATGAATCTATATCTGCTTCTGATATAGAGATAAGATGGGGTATAAAGCTGAATAGTTCAGGTAATTTGTAACAGGACTATGGTGAAACCAGAAAACTAGCTAAAAAAAACTGTTAAATAATGTTGGACTTACATTGTTTTATTGAAATAAAAAACAAAACAAAATTTTCTTTTTTCCCTCCATGCACACATTTTCTTCTTCCATTAAGTCAACTGATTCTTTCCCTAAAGGTTGTCAGTCATTTTTGTTTCATAGCTTCAGATGTTCACTGGCATGGTAGAAGATGACAGATCAGTACCTGTCACATAATTCAATAATCTTACAGAGGATATAATTTTTTAAAATAAAATGTACTGAGACCACTGAGCAAGTCAGAAAGATGGGCAATGCTACAGAGGAATAAACAGACAATACTGTACAAGAGAGAGAGGAATTGTTTGTAGAGAAGAAAGCAGGGATGGCTGGGCTGGCTGACCTTGGATGTCTTTTCCAACCTTGTTGATCTGTGATTTGGAAATTTTATTGATCTTAGTATCTCATTATGTGAGTTGAGCCTTGGAAACCGAACAGTCTGTCTAAACACTGAAGAAGCTTTCTAAGCTTCAGAGCTTACATTCTCACAGAACAAACAGTATTTAAAAAATAATCTGCTAATTTTATTAAGAAAATGGTTTGCTGAAAGAAAAAATCTCCCAGTAGAGACTTTTGCATTGCCAAATCATGCAGACACAGCTAAGTTTGCACGGCTGTGGAAATGAAGCTAAAGATGCGTTGTGCTGTGAAAAGCAACTTGCAAGTGGCTGTGAGAAGTTTGAAAGAATGACTCCTTTTTGGTGTGTCTTGAAAGACATGCTGTAACACAAGCATCTTGGGTTAGAAGTTTTTTTATTTGATTTTTCACTCAGGCAAGATACTTTCACTTCTATTCTTACAAGTCTGATATCAAACGTTACCAGCATATGTATATGATCCATACAGTTAGAGAGAAGTCTGTCAGCACAGAATTACGTTTCTATCAAATGTTTTAAGAAAAACAAAGTCTCTTTCATGTCAGTCTAATAAAATAACTTCTTAGGATAGAATACAGAAAATGTAGTACGATCTAGTTATTCATAGAAGAGTTTAAAAATCTAGTACCTAGTGTTTAAACAAAACATACTTTATACATTTGGCTAAGCTGAAATATCATACCTTGCCAAATAAAAAACTGCTTTCTAACCATAGTTTTCCTAGCAGCTCTGCAGGTATGTAAGGCATGCAGTTCATTTCCTGCCAAGGCTGAGAAAAATGGGTAGGTCTGAGACAATATTACTAGTGTGCTCAAAAAAGGTCTAATGCTGTAGCTGACAGTGTTATATGCATCTTGACTCCTGGTCTCCTTGAAAATTTCCCAGGTACAACTTTGGGGCTGACTCCATTTTAGCTGTCAATATCTTCAGAGGACTCAATGGAAGATTGGATGGGACTTTCCAGAGCGTTACAGTCATCAGTAAGGAATGCCAAGTCCTGGAGAAACAAGAGTGATGGCTGATGTTATAAGAAGGAAGACAGAGGATAGTGCAAATGTAAGTAAGTCAGGCCTTGATTCACTTTTGCTGAAGTCAGGAGGTAGGATAAAGATAGAGGGAGCTGAACACTGTGTCCCTGTTGATGCATCCTGACTCACCCTTCTGCAGTAGGAGATCATAATGGTGTACAGGCTCCGGGCTTTTTCCTTCAGCTCACTCACTTCCAGCACTCTTTCACATCTGGGGTAGGCCACAAAGTCACGCAGTTTTGTCAGCACACAGTAATTCTGCAAAGAGTGCAAAAGAAGAATTTGTAACAGTGCACAAATGCAGATTTATGTCCCTTTCCACCACTTAACAAAATTCTTATTGCCTCTGTGGGAGCCCTGAATTCCTACCTCTGTGTCTATGTGATTTATGTAACCTTTAGTGTGGGAAATTAACCTTCAATATGTCATAACAAAGGCGTTTGGTCCAAATAAGCGCTCAGAAAATTTTGCAGGCGCAGTCCTGGTTTGCCAGCTTCCCACATGCTTTGGGAGCTGGCAGTGCCAAAACAGTAAAATCTGTTCCTGTAGCTGGTGGGGCTACGTAAAAAAAAAAAAAAAAAAAAAAAAAAAAAAAAAGGTGTACTGTTTCACTGTTTCTCTTTTAAGAAAGTGCCTCGTTTTGCTAGTGAACAAGATAATCAAGGATTTATGACACAATTCCTCCGTTCCCATACAAAAGGCAATTACTTTTTCTGGATCATTTTATCTCACAACTTGCATTATTAAAGTAAAGCATGGAAAACATTAATTTCACAGCACCCTAGTACAGCAGATAAATAAATATTCCAGCTCTTGTTATAAAGCATGGGAAACTGAGGCACTGGGATCATGCTGCTCAGCCTTTCTGTTGAGGAAAGGTGCTAGCAGCTGTGGAGGTAGGTTCTGAAGGGATCTCACTTGCAATGCCTGACAGTGTAATTGCTTCCAGCAGAATGTGTCAGGCATTTTTTGTTGATTTTTTTTTTTTTTTTTCTTGTTAGTTGTTCAGGGGAACACTGAGAACAGCAGCAATGTATGTCGGATATCCCAAATATAAAATGCATGCACAGGAGACTATTTCATCTTTGCTGGGAGATGACTTCTGTGGTCTTTCCTCTGTATTCCATAAGGATATTTTTGCTTTCTGGTTTCAACAAATGGTTATTTAAAACAGGAAAAGCCAGCAAGATATCCCTGCACTTCTGTTAATTAAGACTGTAGTGCCAGAGCCACACATGATAAAAAATGAAATTTATAGAATAAAGAAATTGTTTTGCTTTTTTCTTTAAAAAAAAAACAACAAACAACTATTATTCAAAGCTTTGCTGTGCATATTTAGCTTCTGTCACAATAAACAATGTAGAAATGGCAATCACTTCCAAACAAAATCTTAGAAGCTCCATAGGGATTTTAATAAGATTCAATGTGAGATTTATTTTTTTTCAGTCACTCATCTTTCTAGTTAGTTATGCTTTTAAAAAATAGTTTCAAACAGCTCTTCTGGTGTTAACAATCTTAAGAGTTATGCTCTCTTTTCAGTGGCTGCTTTTCCCGTGCAGAAGGAAGAAGGCAGTGTGAAAACTTACGTGAATGTCCAAGTACAGCCTGGGCAGCGTCTCTACACATGAGTCCTGCAGAAAAGAAGAAAGATCAGTAGCAATTTTATTTTGAGAGCTACTTGTATCAAAAGTAAACAACCTGCAATGTCTTTATAGGAGTTTTTAGGCCGACTAACCTTAGCCTTGGAGGTCTGCAGCTCCTTGAAGGACTCAGTGATTTCTTTGCTCAGAGATAACACCCTGGAGTAGCAAGTTGGAGGGGCTGCTCTGGCTAGCAGGGCTGCAGAGAGCAGAGCAAGCAGGCTCAGCAGCATCTTTGTCCTGGAGAGCTTGTCCAGGGGAGGAGATGAGGAAAAAATTCTTGTCAATGGCTGGGCAGCTCCTGATGAATTTGACAAGTCAACTCCCAGTTAAATAGTCGTCTGTATCAATGAGGGGAAAAAATGTCTGGGGGTGGTCCAAGGAGCAGCTTACTGCTGGTTTAGATTTCCTACCAACCTATGAGGCGGGGCTGCTAGCACTTTCCCCTGGAGCAGGGAAAAGAGGGAACAAGGATAACAAAAACAAGCACTGCTGGCATGCTGCATTCCAGAAAGAAAACCACTGAGTGAGCTTCCCAAGCAAGAGAAATAAGTGTAAGAAACAGTACAGGGTTATCAAAGGGCGAGAGGCTGTGGTCTTGTGTATGTTTTGGCATACAAGCCTCTTTTCGAGAAAGTAATTTAAAGCTGCAGGACTGCATACGGTATGTGGAGAGGCATGGAGAGGCATCCTCCGAGCGCTGTTGTCTTATGCTGACAGTGTTGATCAGACTTGCTTATCATACTTAGCAGGCCTGAAAGGTTACTGCTATAAGAGAGACCTCTGATTGTGTATCATTTTCTCTTTTCAACCTGTGCAGACTCTCTCTATTTCTAAACCAAAGCCAACAGCGCTTGCAATGGCTACCAGAGGAGTGCTGTATATTTACACACTTGTGGTCTCAAATAGAATTAATGCATCTCTATATGGCTGTCGTAAATGTATAAACACCGTTTTGCTTTCTGTGTTAGATTTATGAGGCTCTGTTCCTTTATTAGATTCCAGATGGAGCTGAAACATCCAGATGCTGGGAAGCAGGCATGGGGCTGAACATATGTTGTTAGATGTTAATTGTCCTATAAAATGGAAGTACTTTTTGCTGAAGAACTGCTTATTTCACAAGTTACCCTCCCACCCCCCAAAAGAATCAGTAGAACCCACCACCTTTCAAATTGAGGTTCTAGCTTGGTATTGACCAAAATAGGAAATTATCTGATGGAGGGCACAATCCCCGTGGCACTGAAATAAACTGGGAATTCTCAGTTGAAGATGAGAAAAGGGAAAATGACAAAGCATCTGTTAAATAAAGGAGTTTCCTATCAGTCACTTCGGAGAGAAAACCAGTCTTGCGAAAAAGAATTATGTATTTTGTAGAGGATTCTGACTTGAGTCTACCCAAATGCCTGGAAGAAACAAGGAAACAGATCTGCTTTGTACTGTCTTGTTGCATTTCTTTGCTTTTTCAAAGGAAGATTTGTTTAGTAAAGTCATGTGCTCCTGAATGGTAATTTGATCAATACCCTGTGAGGATAGAAAAATTTCAACTGCTGGGAGTCCCAGCAGTGAGAATTTAGGGTTGCCTTTGGAAAATGGGTTGTTGGGTTTTACTTTTAGTTTTTTATTTTAGGAAATGGAGTTGTTTAGAAAAGTGAATGAAGAGCCAAGATGAAGCTGGAAAACCTTCTACCTTTGAAAATAAGATGGCACACCTCAGTTGGATTGTAGTCCTAAACAAAACTGCCTCATGCATATCCAAGGGAAGGATTCTTCTTTGTGTGAACCTTTCCAGTAAAGAAACAGGCTCTTAATAATCATCTCCTTACTGTAAAAAGTAGCTGAGAGTGGCAGTGAAATATTATCCTTCTATCATATTCTTGTTTGGCAAGCTGCTGAAATGTAGCTGCTCTGACTGAAGAACAGATTTCTTAACAATGTAAATATTCTCTCCATGCAAGATATAAGCAATACAATACTGTTAAGGATGTTTTTGATATTATTTGCTTTGAATTTGTTTATCTATTTATTTTTTTACTTAGCGTGAGCATTATTGTCTTTCATTATATTTTACCTATACTAACATTGGTGGTGGCTCCATTTTGAGTAAAATACTGTGGATCATGCTCTAAAAGAAAGCTGTTCTGAGTGCCTTTGACAAGTGGCACCAGTAAAATAATTCTCCATGTCCTGTGTCTGGGCCAGATTGAGGCAGCTGAAAACTATTTAAAAGTCCCTCTTTTTAGGTTGGGCTAGTGTGAAAGGTTCTCTCAGTTATTTGAAATTACATTATAAACTGTGCTGTACTTTGGCTGCCTAAGCGGAGAGAAGCAAGTGTGCAGCATCCTATGGCCCAATACACAGCCCCATTTCCCAAGCTAGGTTGCAAGTCCTATGCCACAGGAGCCATACCTGGAGGTCCCATCCATAATCACCTGACATGGATTTCATTTCTTTCTCAGCTCTGAAGATGTTGGGTTGGATGACCTAGTTCTGATGTAGCAACAAATGGAATGGGGATGAAAGGTCTGTCACCTACCTCTCAAGCCTTGGCACTTGAAGTCCACCTAGGCCCACACACTCAGCATGCATACTTGCGAATATCTTTGTCTTGAGTGGTGAGTTTTACTGAGCCCCACGTACTTGCAGAGATGCTTTGCCACCAACAGGCAGGAAAATGATCAAGGCTTCTTGCAGAACAAGAAAATGCAATGATTCACTGAGCTACCAAGATCTTGTCCCAATAAGCAAGGCTGGATCCAGGCTTTGCCAAAACATTTAACCAGCCAACCAAATAAATAAAAGACTCTGCGTTGTGAAGGGGTAAAATTGCTGGATCAATTTGCTCTGAAATTTTTGCTCAGCTGCAGCATTCCTGCCTTGTGGTTTCTCTTTGATCCCAGACAAACTAACTCAAGGAAAGCCACCCTGAGATGGACATCCATTCAAATAATTTAAAAAATGAGCTACCCTCAGAAATCTCAGGAAGAACAACTCCTCATTTATTTTTTTTTCTTCAGGAAAGAGCTGTAAAAGAAGGACCAAGGTTTAATTTCCTCACCTAAATCTTCATGTTTCTGGGCCAGATTTCATGCATAGTTGATTCTGGCCCAGATGGATATTTTCCAATGTCTCCTAGCTCATCAGCATTTCTGCACAGCTCAGCGTGAAGAATATGCAATTCAATTCAAAAAAGACAAAATTTCTTCTCAGTTTTCTTCTATTTGTAGCTTATCAGCTTATCCTTGATCTATGAATATGTTCAATTTATAGTCCACATACAGGCAAATAACTTGAGAAGCTCAGTGATGACTTCAAGAGAATTTGCTGGTGACATCAGGCACTGGGAGTCATTGGCACCTTGCGCAACTCTGAACCAGCTATGCAGCTACCAGAGCCCTTGAAACTCCAGACACTTTTTGATGACTGTTTTTATCACATTTGTCACTTATGCAAAGTAGCTTATTAATTCTGGAGCATAGCATGCCTAGGGCAGAAAAGATCTTTAATGGAGTTACAACAAGCTGTTCCTCTCAAAGGCTAATGGCACCTGAGAACATAGATTCAAAATGGACATAGAAATAATCCTGAGAGCTGCAGTTAGGGAAAGGGCAAAGATCAAAACATGTTACAGCCAAAAGTTGCCTGAGGATTGCACCTATGGGAAAGTTGCTACCCACAACCCTTCCAGTCTGTGGAGTGATACTCGGGCTACTGCAGCACAGCAGGAGAAAATCTGCATCACTCCATCTCTATGGGCATCATAATGTGCACATCTCATAGTCCTTCAAGGGCTCCAAGGACTGAGGCACATATTTTCTTTCAGTTTTATCTGCTCATGAAAATTGTATCATCACATCCTATGAGATCTACTCACAGTATGTTTATTTACTCATTCTTATAAGGAATATTCCACAGCAAAAACAGACACAGACTGAGAGACAAACTACAATTCTATCATGACACAACTGCATACAAATCTTTTTTACTTTTTAAACAATTTTCAGGTATGTTTTTCTCTTACTTCCAAGTTACTGAAAACTCAAACAATAATATTTTTCTAAAAGTCAAAGGTCTCGCTATGTAGGCAGAAACTCCTCCCGTGTTTGAACGGCACACCCGGACCTCCACAGACTTTTCACAAAAGCCCTTTCAAGCTTCTGCTTTCCTAATATGAAAATCCACTTGTTTAATGAAAATGTTTATTTTAAAATTGTTGGGAGCTGCTGTGAGACATTTTATGAAGTCAGCTTCCTATTATATTGAAAAATAGGAAAGAAAATCAAAACAGCTCTTTACAGAGAAAGTCTTGTATACTTAGGAAGCAATTCAAAGCCCATGACTGAGCTTGCTGTTGCAGAAGATGTGCCATTTCTTGTTTCAGAGCTGAGCCGAATTTCCCTGCAAGCTGCCAGCTCACCACAAAAGAGGTGTTCACAGCCTTCTGGGAAAGCCTGGCATTTTGGTTGAGGCCTTGTCTTGCTTTTCCTAGCTTCTGCCTGTGCACTGTCCATGTTGTGCTTTGTTGTAATATCAGCACTGAATTTTGAATGCAGGTTGTGCAGCCTCTCACACTGCTGTGGTGCAGAAGGGATGCTGTGTACAGCTGTACTGCATGTCCATGCTTTAAGCTGGGATGACTCAATGTGTCTCTTTCTCTTTCAGGCTGGCATTGCATCCCTGCTGGTGGTGTGTGCAGCTTGGCCAAACTGCAGGCAATGGACAAGGCAGGCAGGGCTGTTGATGTACCAGCATTGCAGCAGCATTTTTCTGTGATTGTTAAGCACAAGTCCCCTTTGTTTGCTCAGTGGTACAGAGTTTTTTCTTCAATACTGTTGTTGTTTTCTTTTAAAATATACATATATATTGAGGAAACATACTCCAAAGCTGTGAGCCTTTTGTGAGGTGCTGGCGCAGACTGTCCAGAGAAGCTGTGGATGCCCCACCTCTGGAAGCATCAAGGCCAGGTTGGGCAGCCTGAGCTGATGGGTGGCAGCCCTGCCCCTGGCAGGGGGTGGAGCTAGGTAATCTTTAAGGCCCCTTCCAACCTAAGCTCTTAGATGATTCTATGATTCTATGAAAGCCTGTTCTTAGACAAAGAATCCTTGCAGTGGGGACACAAGCTCCTGCCATTCCCCGGAGCGCAGTCAGAGCAGTGCTCATGGTTGCTCAGAGATGTCCCCATGAGCTGCTGTCCTGGCAGTGCAAACACCCAGACTTGTTTGGGTCTCAGCTCCTG